TCTGAAGAGGGCAGTTAACCACGTCCAGCTGGTTGCGGTTAGAAGGCTCCGTTTGATCTAGAAACAGCTGAACATGTCCAGAAGCCATCTTCAGATCTTAGTGCTACACATACAAAGATTGGGGTGTGTGTGTGAGGACATGTCCAGCATGCAGAAGGCATCGAGATCAGGGCCATCATGCTCAGAGTTGCCCCCCTGCACACCTTTAGCACTCCCATGCCCAGACTGAATGCCTGAATAGGGCTGTTAGAGCACCCATGTTAACTCCTGACACCTGACAGGTGCTGCAGTTGTGAGTACAAACACCCTCTCATAGTACTGGCTACAAATTGACAAATCATTAGAGGACTAGGCCAGGCACAGGAAAACTCGGCCTTCCAGATGTTTTGGGACTACAACTCCCATCATCCCTGACCACTGGTCCTGTTAGCTAGGGATGATGGGAGCTGTAGTCCCAAAACATCTGGTGGGCCGAGTTTGCCTATGCCTGGACTAGGCTGTTGATGGCTACCAGCTATGAGGGCTGCGTTCTCCCTGGGAGGCAGTATGCCTCTGAAAACCAGTTGTTGGAAATTGTGACTGGGGAGAGCAGAGCACTGTGGCAATCAGGTACATCCCATGGACATCTGGTTGGCCATGTGAGAGAAGGATCCTAGACTAGGTGGGTCTTTGACCTGATGCAGCAGCCAAGCTCTTTTTTGTTCTTCTGGGTGACACCCTTTGGTGGACAGAACATAATCCATAGAACATCAATAAACTTTTATATAGCTGGTCTAGCATTTCGTTGATGAGAGGGACTCTGCTGATCCTACAGCTCACCAAGTTGGAGATGGAGATCCTTGACTGCTTTTTCCAAAGCAGAAGTGTCCCCAGATGGAAATCATTACAAGCCCAAGTCCTTTATTAAAGTTGAAAGCAAAAGGGCCCTGCTCAACACAAAGCTGCTTAGTTTTAAAAAGCCCCTTTCCTCTAGTGTATCTGCCTCTGCTATCTGCTCATATTTCTTTGTACATTTCCTCAGTGGAACCCAGATTACACAGTATGGAGACCAATAATAAAAGCCTCTCCATTTAATTCCCGAGCTTCAGGTTTAAATTTAGAGCATGTTATCATAGAAGATTGGTTTGGGATATATGATGTGCTCCAGTGACTGAACGAGGAGGGTGACTTCATGCTTTTTGAGAAAGATTTTTACAGATGTGGTCAAAGGAAAATATTCTTCAGAAAAGCCAGCAACATCTGCAGATAGCATGCTGATTATGTCACTGCTGCTGCTCTATAATCTGAGTGAGAGTCTCTGTCCTACACAAAGCAAATGCAGGAGCTGATGGGGCAGGCAAAAGAAAGTACATGCATGTTTTCACTTTTCTGGTTCTTATTTTCAACTTATTCTGTGGTGTGCATCAGAAGAACAGAGGGCTGGAGGTCTGCTATCTCTTTGGGAGGGACCCGTTTGATACAAAAGGACACATTTACAATGGATTGCTACACCTTTATTATGTATAAAGCTAAAGAAGATGCAGTGGAACTTTCCTCATGCTACAAAATTTTCTGGCTAGTGTAATTCTATAATTTGTTTATTCATTTGGATAAGTAACTGGAATTGTGTTTTTCTAATGGTTGCTGGCTTCACGGTAATCTAGTAATTTCATTTCCTGGGGAGGGCGAGGGAGGGATAGCTTTGTTTGTTTTACTGTTCTTTGATAATTTGTAACAGAAAAGAATCGTAATTAAAAAAACCCACAAACTGATTTTTTAAAAAACAAAACAAAAACAAAACCCCACAATTCCAAATCTCTCAAATAGTTGAGTAAACCTTAGTCTCCCTCTCTCCCTCTCCCTCCCTCTCTCTCTCTCTCTCTCTCTCTCTCTCTCTCTGTATTTCGCTGACTTCACATGAGTCCACTTGAACATTAAACCATGTATTTTACATTTCAGCCATTACTTGTTCACACTGGATGAACAGTTTTAAAAAAATCAAGGGTAGGAGGTGAATAGATGTAGCATCCAGTAGTTGCAGTAACTGTTGTCTGTGGCATATAGATACCAGTTTATATCAAATATCAGATGGAAGACCAATATTAAGTATATATGCCGCAAATGGGTGGAACTGCTATGGACACCTCAGGATTTGCATTGTCACTATTCCTTGTGTTGTTACTGCTGTTTAGATGTTTTAAACTGTGTTAACTTCTTGTACATTACCAGTAGTAAAGTATGGAAGTGAGAGCTGGACCATAAAGAAGGCTGATCGCCGAAGAATTGATGCTTTTGAATTATGGTGCTGGAGGAGACTCTTGAGAGTCCCATGGACTGCAAGAAGATCAGACCTATCCATTCTTAAGGAAATCAGCCCTGAGTGCTCACTGGAAGGACAGATTGTGAAGCTGAGGCTCCAATACTTTGGCCACCTCATGAGAAGAGAAGACTCCCTGGAAAAGACCCTGATGTTGGGAAAGATGGAGGGCACAAGGAGAAGGGGACGACAGAGGACGAGATGGTTGGACAGTGTTCTCGAAGCTACCAGCATGAGTTTTACCAAACTGCGGGAGGCAGTGGAAGACAGGAGTGCCTGGCGTGCTCTGGTCCATGGGGTCACAAAGAGTCGGACACGACTAAACGACAACAAAACAACAACAACTTGTTTTATTTTTGTTGTGCTGTGCCTCAGGTTGTTATGTAGAAGGTAGTATATAGGTAAGTAAATATATAAAGGGTTGAATCCAACAAAGTCATCGTGCAACAGAACTTCCTCTCCATCTCCTCTCCCTGCACATCCCTCCTTTATACAAAACTTCTCCAGAGGGATGTGGGGAAGAAATGCAGAGCAGATTTGGGGGCATGGCAGGGAGAGCAGTTTCATTGCATAAGTTCTGTTTTGCTCCTGCAGTGACTTAGTTGGACATGGCCCATCATTTATTCCACAGCCATTCTCCCCAACCTCCAAATTCATTTTGACTCCTCTCTCTCTTTGTGAATTCAAGGGTAGAAGAGGAAAGGCTGCTGCCAAAACAGAAATCTATGAAAGCCCTTTAGCTGTGTACCTATAACATGCTCTTGTTGGATCCCTCCCCACATGTTTTCTCTCCCCCTGGAGCCTAGTGGTTTTCTGGTGAGAGATGAAACACAGGCTATTCTGTTCCTACTCACTGTTAGCAGTAATCAAAGTCCGGCCAAATGACTGGCAGGTGCGTGAGACTCTTTGGAGAAACTTGTCTAAAAATGTTAGGAAAGAGAAAGAGCTAACATTTCCAAGTTCCAGATGCTCTTCGCTATGCGTGACCTAGCATGATTTGTACTTGTTTATACTCTTTGGACCACCTATCTTGTTAATAGCTCCTCTGCGCAATGTCCCATCCTCCGCTCTTTGCAGACCGTGTTTGTGGTTTTCGGAATGCTTATTTCGGTTATGGCAACATGCGGAAGAAACAGAAGCTAGCAGGTCGCATCTGGCCTTCTTTTGTTCTTTATGGCCACGAAAAATGGAAACACATATTTTGAAGGCATGCACAAATAATGCTTATCTAATTCCAGCTAAAACATATGCCCTCATCCAGCATCAGGCTATCGGCTCATGTAAGCAGGCCTTTATGGGGTTATCATCTGCTATGCATCAGATGCTGTAAATCTGATGTGTGCTCAAATATGCATCACACTGTACATCTGAGTCCAAGTGCCATCTATCCACTATTCCAGTGGCGTCCAAACTTTTTTCAAAGAGGGCCAGATTTGATGAAGTGAAGGGCCATGAGGGCCGCCCAAAGTTGTTGACCTTTTTTTAGGATTTTTGAGCTATTTTTAGGATTGAAGTTGTTGAGTTTTTTTAGGATTTTGCCCCATGAAATAAACTGCCACAGGGGCTGGATTAAACCAACTGGCAGGCCAGATTAAGTCCCCAAAACAGACTTTGGACATGCCTGCGCTATCCCATTTACATTACTACCATCTGGAATGCACAGCCCCATCTACAGTCTAATGCAACTTGTCATGAAATTACCTTTCTAAGCGTGATTCAAACTGAATCACGGTTACTAGCATTAAATACAGAATCTGGTACCATATTTTACTAATATCATATTAGCTGTTACAATCCGTTTGTGCTGTGTAAGGGACAATGCAGCTGAGAAAAGAACAGGGTGAAATGGAAACCCCCAGGGTGAATATTCTCCACACAGTCTCTGCAGGATCACTTCTTCTCAGAATATTTGTTACTGGTTTATGACAGCCAGTTTTTCTCTTTGATCACCCGCATCGCGCCCCTTCTCTTCACTTGCTCTATATGGTTGCTTTGAATTTCCAGTCCCAAATACTGCCACCCGCAAGGTCACAGCAAAGTTTAATTTCCCCAGGCCAAAATCCAGCATTTAACTGAAGGCAGAAGCCTCGCGCTCGATTGAATGGCACGCAGATGCATTTCATTTTTTAATGTTAAAAACTCATAAAGTTCATTTCCCATACAAAATCTGAATAAAAGTTTTGCATAAACGGCAAATGTTTTGCATGATATGCAGACCAGGCCACCCAGTTCTGAGGTCCTGGAATGTGGCAAACTCTGCACTGGTTGCTCAAATTCATATCAGGCCTGGTCAGTTCAGTGAACTCAAACTCTTTTGCTGGAGCAATCTGGCTGTGAGGCCAAATGGAAACCCCCTTATCCCTCAGGCTTGAATTTTCTCCCAAGAGAAGCAGTGCGTAGTCTAACCTTTTAATACCCCCCTCCCTTTCTTGGCATCCTGTGCTGGCTGGCCTCGGATGTTGTCCCACATTCCTCTTAGTCAGAAACAATTAAAGAAAGAAGTAAACTGGCAGGAATAGAGACCGAGGCAGCACAGTGCAGTCAAACATGAAGCGGTGGAAGGGCCTCTGAGAAACCCAGCCAGTTTTATGTAAGGCAAGCCTGGTCATCAAGGAGCTGCTGTGATCATTTACTCGGTGTGCGCAGAATGAGAGTGGGGTTAGGGTGGAAGGGAAAGCACAGAAGCGTATCTGGTATGCCTTACCTTGAGGCCCTGGGAAAAAGATACTGCAAACAATCCTGAGCGGAAAACGCAACTGTCGTGGCCCAGCAAGTAGCCATGAAGTGCCAAGTGTGACTGATCCCCTTTGAAAGCTCATTAGTTGCATCAGGGAATTGCTTTGAGGCAAACAATAACTTGTCCTTTCCCAGCAAAATCAGGGGGGAAAGCAAGTCGGAATGATTTCTGTGGGCTAAACTCACCAGTCTGTACCAGGCCTTGGCAGTCAGTCCTGGCATGGTAAAAAGTGGCAAAGAGCCAGTCTTGTGTCGCTGCTCCCAGCTGCCAGTTGCTATCTGTAGTTTATGAACTTGTTCCAGTGTCTGTAACAGGGGCTTATTATATTAGGGAGACAGCTCATTAAATCAAAGGGCATTTTCACATGAGTGGCTGATGTGCTTTTGGGGCAGCGCCTTCTGTAATGGAATTGGAAAAACCTATACTGTATTGGTGGGAGTGTACAACCATGCTATCTTCTGCCTTCGCTACCGTTGCACATGGCACAGATACCATGTGAAAAGCTCCAGTTCACACAGGCGAAAATGGCCCCCAATCTTCTTTAAAGTCCCTCAACATGCTTAGCAATTTACTTTTTCCATTTTAATATTTATTTAGCTGTGGACCTAATGATTTCTGTTTGGTTGCTATGCTACATGTGTGCATTATCTAGAAACAAACAAATAAATCTTCCCTTTAATAGAAAAAAGACATTTAAGTGAATCATTTATTAAAACTCATTAACATCTCTTTACTTGAGTGATAGCCCTGCTTAATTAGCACACAAATCCTTCTTGCATAGGGCATATGAGACGTCGTGTGGCAGGTACACCCACACTCGGAACATTATGTACAGTTCTTGCCTCATTGCATTTGCTAAATCGATTGGACACATCACACTTCTCCTATGCTATTTCTCAGTTGGCAGATAAATTGGCCCAGATTAGAGCATAGAGGACTTGTCTGAACCACATTTGGGGTTCCTACACCTGTAATCATAGAGTTGGACGTTCATGTAGTTCAATCACCTGCTGATGAATGAAATCCACTGTTTTAGCATCACTGATATGCCCTGCAGCCTCTCCTTGAAAACTCTGAGGATAATCTTCTTTTGACAATATTCACAAAGAGAGACAGGAGGGGATAGGCTCTACTATTTTTAATCTTGAGAGCTCAGATTTTGGTGAGATGTACTATTCTGAAATTTTCTCCACAATGGGCCAAAATTAGGCAAGGGCTACATAGCAAATGCCGTGTATGGCTGAACATTTATCGCCACATCCAATATGAAGCGACTTTTTGGACGACAAGCTCTTGGACTCTTGAATGGGGATGTATTGTGCAGGAAGATATCTGTACATGTGTTGCTGAGACCAAGGTAGCAATGCAGCACAAATGCTATCTGCCTCAAGCCCATTTGGAGGCCTGTCTTGGTGGGAGGTTATTTTGATTTCAAGTATAAAAGCTGCATTTGGTGGCAAATCCTCTTTACCCTGTGATTTCTGCTCCTCTGCAACATGCAAATATGTTGGAAGATGGTCTCCCCTGACTTTCAAAATATATTTTGTCACAGTGTAGACATTTGTATGAGAAGTGAACGAGATACATAGTATAAAGAAGTTTGTGGAAGGGGCTGCAATGGTGATCATTGTGTATGTTCACCTGGAAGCCTTATGTTGAACTCTGCTGTAGCTACCACTCTCCTGTAATCTGTGCAGTTTCAAAAGCTCAACCCATAACCCCTTTTAGGAGTTTTTCCAGACCATCGGTTTATAGTACAATAAATCTACAACTATCATTCCAAAGATCCCGAAATCTTCCCTCAAGATAGCGGCTCTGCCACAATTACAGTGTTTCTTTCAGCCCAGAAGGAGCTCAGAAACTGACAATTTCTCCCAAACTAGAATGCCTTTTGCTGTCTGAAATAATGATTTGGTGAATTTTGTGGTTCCCCTAACACATCAGGTTTCTTTCCTCCTGCTATTGGTGGATGGGGGCATCTCAATCTACTGCTGGTTACACACACAAGCTGTGTACACATTCCCAGGATATTGCAGCCTCAATCAGCTTCTTCCTGTCCACACTTACCTGGCAGTAAATTCCATGGGTCCACAAACAGGAAACACACTGCAACTTAAAGGGAACCCTGACCATTAGGTACAGTCGTGACCAACTCTGGGGTTGCGTGCTTATCTCGCTCTATAGGCCGAGGGAGCCAGCATTTGTCCGCAGACAGCTTCTGGGTCATGTGGCCAGCACGACTAAGCCGCTTCTGGCGAACCAGAGCAGCACACGGAAACGCCGTTTACCTTCCCGCCAGAGCGGTACCTATTTATCGACTTGCACTTTGACGTGTTTTCGAACTGCTAGGTTGGCAGGAGCTGGGACCGAGCAATGGGAGCTCACCCCGTCACGGGGATTCGAACCGCCGACCTTCTGATCGGCAAGTCCTAGGCTCTGTGGTTTAACCCACAGCGCCACCCGCATCCCACACTGCAACTTACTTTTAAGTAAATATGCACGGGATTGTCCTACACATCTTGAGTATGTTAGGTTAGCTGCACTTTGGTTGGTCTCGTTGAATATATGGTGACACTGTGATTCAGTATTAGTGTTCATTGGAGCTTCTGAACTCCTGTAGTCTGCATGTTCATAGGTGGAGTTTAGCCCAGACATGAAATGTAGCAATAAGAGAGAGTTGCATTTCAAAGACCTACTTAAGCCTTGCCCTTGCCTGTTTTCCTGCTACCCTAACACAACAGGGGATTCCAACCTCATGGTTTTTATTTTGCTAAGTCTGCTGCTTTCAGGAGCATATATAAACCATTGTCTTCGTTTCATGATGCCAAGTCTAGTTGTTCCTGTTTCTTCCACTCATAGACATGCTGCAGCAGCAAGTTTGTACAGTGCTACCTTGGTTCTCAAAGGCGTTGGTTCTCAAACTCTGAAAACCCGGAAGCAAGTGTTCCAGTTTTTGAACGATTTTTGGAAGCCGAACATCCAATGTGGTTGTTGGCTATTGTTTCTGGAGTGCCTGCACCAATCAGAAGCTGCAGCTTGGCTTTTCAAACATTTTGGAAGTCAAACGGACTTCCAGAACGGATTACATTTGCCGTTTTTGTTTTTGAGGTTTTTTCAGTTAATATGTTTTTGTGACTGTGTGGAACCCAATTCAGCTATTGATTGATTGATTGATTGATTGTGTGACTGCGGAAATGGATACCCCCCCCATCCAAACAATGACTATCATCAGTGCAGGGAAGAAGAGAAAATTAAATTTTCATTTTTATCATCTACAATACTGTCTTATTTATTTTATAGTACAGTACATTGATTATTGCTTTCATTTTCTGGATCAATGGTCTCGTTAGATAGTAAAATGCATGTTAAATTGCTGTTTTAGGCATCGTTTTTAAAAGTCTGGAATGGATTAATTTGTTTTGCATTACTTTCTTTGGGAAAGTGTGGCTTGGTTTTGGAACACTTTGGTTTTGGAACAGACTTCCAGAACAGATTAAGTTTGAGAGCCAAGGTACTACTGTACTGTGCTATGGACATGGCCTTTATGCCCATCTCCTTCCTGATCTTTCCCCTTACATATGATTGAATGTAATATGGGCACTTGCCTGTTAACATCTGGATGAAGACCACTGGCGCATTCAGTGCTTCAGAACAGCTGCCTGCTGCAAAACCCTAACAGTTATTAAGAATCAGTTAATTGTGTTAAAAAGGTATATATACATTAGATAGTAAGCTGCACTATATATTCAGAATGTTTCAGGTTTGTTTACATGTTTTTATTTGCTTTTCTATTATTCAAGAGGAATTCCTGTTATAGAAGTTAAATATGTGTTCAGAATCAAAGAAAAATAGATTAATAGTGGTGGCAAGGCCCAGGTGGACTGGAATGTATGTACCACATGCAGCATTCCTCAGTGTACAAATATAAAATTATATGATATACTGTTGAAAGATTCTTATGGCCTCTGCAGTTGTGATAAAGTTAATTGCCCATTCACAATTAATTTGATAGCCCAAAGGACTAGTAATACATTTAAAGCCTATTATGAACTGTCTCCCTAAAAATGATTTGCTGCATTACTAAGCAGCCACTTAACAATAGTAAAAAAAGATTCTTTCTCAGTTGTGCTGGCAGAGGTTTGTAAAGCTGCATTCTCATTTTTGTAATTTGTGACAAGTTCAACACAGCACAAGAAAATACACCTAGAAAGAAGCCAGTTAGCTACAGGATGTTACTGGGCAAGGCGGCTCTCTTGATGTGCCTTGGGAAAATCTGGTGAGTTGTCAATTCATAAAAACACACACATAGCCAGGAGAAAAATGTGTGGAAATTCTGATTGCTAAAAGAACGTGTGTTCAGATGGGAGCCCAAGAATGTTTTGTTTCTTTGCCAGTGTTGTTATTTGTAAGAAGTCTGAAAAAGATCGCCAAAGAATATCTACACGAACAGGTTTTTGTGATTTATAATCTCTGGTTGCAGGGGTACTGGAACCACTTATGAATTTCTAAGATGGGTACATATTTTAGTACTATTGTAACACATGTGAGGTAGACGGTGGAACCTACTGGGTGAAAAATGGCCTTAGAATTGGAGCTGAATAGGTAACAAAAGGGACTGGTCTGACATGTCAAAAATGTAGGTCTCACATTATACAGTATGAGAAAAAGCTGGTTGCATGAGGCTTGTGACACATTCTCTGACTGAGATGTAGGTGGATTCGTTTGTTTTCAAACTTCTACTATTTCCTATTTTCTGTTAAGTAACCATATGATTATTATTACACATGCATTAGATAGGGGCCTTTTAGTCTTCATGTTCTCTTGCTGCAAATAGCTGAGTAATGAGAAAATAAGTACGATGAAAATGAGATATACGATTGGCGTTTGTAGCTTTTAAACAGATAATAAACATATGTAAGAAGGAGAAGGAGAAACAGGGTCTTCATAGTCCGAGCAAACATGGTGAAACATATGGTTGTGTCTTTTTATTGTATGGGACCATGCTGTGAATTCCTGAAAGAAAGAATTGTTTCAAGTGAGAGGAAGGGACTCGAGGTCTGGTGAAAGAGAAGCAGATTTGATTAAAAAGAAAACTTTGCATTTCTGTAAAAGATTATAGCAAGGCATATGGGTGGCAGGGCCTCCCATCAACTCCTGTAAAATCATGTTATTGCCATCGTAGGGAGAATGCCACAAGTCGATGTTGCAAAAAGTTTGCCAGAGGCAGTCACTCGATAGAATTCCAGGATTACAACTGAAGGCAAAGTCCTAGTTGTACGAATGTGAGCTTTGATATTATTGTCATGGGTTTGCAGGGGGCAAGGATCGCCTAAAGTTCCTGGGTGCCAGACCTTAGATTTAAAATGCACGCTAAACAAGGAAATCACCTGGGGACAAGGGCCATCAATGAAGAATGGCCAGTCATTGACCCTCTGCCTGAGCTCTGAGTAAATAGCAAAGATGGGAAGGAGAGGTTACACAGGCAAAATGCATCCTTTTGAAATGTAGAGGTTGGGGAAGAAGGGAGAGGACTCCATGAGCTGCTGTGAAGGCAGAGCCATCTTGGCAGGCTGGGACAGAGGCATGGAGATGGAGGTCAGAGCAAGCTCCTCTTGAGATGTAATGCTCTGAACTCTCTCCAAAGTAGACCCATGGGTAAATATGGGTACAATAAAGTCTCCGCTGTGCCTTGATTTCCCATTTGAAACACAACCCTGGGTTAGTGCCTAGAACATGGGTAGGCAACCTAAGGCCCGGGGGCTGGATCTGGTCCAATCACCTTCTAAATCCGGCCTGCAGACAGTCCGGGAATCAGTGTGTTTTTACATGAGTAGAATGTGCCCTTTTATTTAAAATGCATCTCTGGGTTAGTTGTGGGGCATAGGAATTTGTTCTTTTCCCCCCTTCAAAATATAGTCCGGCCCCCCCACAAGGTCTCAGGGACAGTGGACCGGCCCCCTGCTGAAGGTTTGCTGACCCCTGGCCTAGAACCACCTGGAATCTTGCTGGAATCTCAGCAGAGATTGGGGGTGGCACGCAAGCTTTGTAACATTAATTTCAATGAATTTTCCGCAATATATTCTAGCTCCTACAATACAAGATTAATGAGCTTACTTTCTAATGGCAATGAGTGAAAGATGTAAAATAAACTTTAAGGACAGGTTTGCTTAGCCATATGAATGATCAGTTACCTCGTAAAGGGAATATACTGTGTATTTGTTATTGAAAAGAAATGTACATAACCAGTATGAAAAATCAGAGGTTCATAAGATGCATTTTCCAGTGCTAGTTAATATAGAAACCCACAAAAAAATAGCTTGGGTCCTTGAGGACCAACAATGTTAATAAACAAAATAAAAATGAATGTCCATGACTATCTCAAAGAAACATGTTTCTGTTAGCAACCAGTAATTAAAACATCAACAATATTTTTATGCTATTAATAAATGATAAACATTTATAATTTTTCAGTTCATTTGTACTGATACGGATCCATCATCATCAACAAAAAACCCCAGACCAGCAAACTTAAACTTCATTGGTGGCAAAGCTGCCTTCAATGTGTTTACAAGAATTTCAAAGTAGAATTTCAAAGATCACCTGACGTTAGATTTGCTAGGACATAATGTGAAAATATTAATGGTTCCAATGCTTAGTAAAGCAGTTAGATTAATCAGTGTTGACCGACTAAAAGGAATCACCAATTAATGGGTCAAAAGAATTTTAAAAACTGAAATAATTTTTAATAGAAGCACTGTATAACAACTGCAGATGACAAGTTTCACCATAAGAGGAGTCCCTTTTGGGAGAAAGAATGACTTCTTTGAAAATTATCCCTGTTGTGGCAGATGTATACATCATCCAAAGGCAATGACGGTATGCTTTTTTAGATCTAATATTTTGCATATACTGTACAACTTTGTGCATATATAATCAATCAATTAACGAATTGAACCTCATCTATTTAATTAGCTAAGGTAACTGGGTAGAAAACACAGAACTGTATTCACTGTAAAGAGCAACGTGGATTAACTAACAGCACACAATTATTTTTTAGCTTGTTGCCACATTTTTTCTCTTAATTAATTTATATCATACCTATTCACACAGAGCAGCGTGGATTCACACTTGTTCTTACTAGCAATGGTGTTT